CAAACGCCAAAGCGTTATCCACTTGGGCCACGAGAGCCACCTCTTGTGAAACGGGTCATATTAATTATTTTAATTGAATTTTAGATATTCCCATCTACTGATTGGACTTCAGTGCTCAGTCTCAGGTTGACCTGTTGGCTTCTTGTACAGATGCTGGGTTCGAGCCTCGGTGGGAACATCATCACTCATTGCGGAATGCAGGTACATCCAAATGACGAGTTCGAAATAGGACGAAATGTGCATCCTGAATTCCACTGCCAGTCACCATCCACCGATTAACCTCTAAGTGTAAACAAATGTTTCTAGGAAAGTTTCAACGTGTAATCTGAAGCAAACTCTAGTATTGATTAGTGCTTAGGATTTCGTATCGATAAAATAACTGAGAGATTAGTCTCATATTGATAACATGGACTCACTGATCAGATGCTCCAATGTTAACAAGATTATTAACTCAAAGTTACTTATCTTCATTAGTATTTAGGAGGCGCCGGTGGCATAGCGGTTTGGACGCTCGCCGACCATGCACATGGTCCGGGGTTCGATCCCCGGCCACCAACGCACTCCTTTACCTCGCTAAGCCAGAAATAATGCTGGTGAAGAGGAAAGGTTGAGCATGAGGCTAGCAACCCCATCCTGTAAAATAAACACTGCTACAGAAACTTCAAGCCACTAGCTTGAAGCCCTATGTTCCACTGGGGAGCGTGAAGGAAAAAAATTAGTATTTAGCAGTGAGTAAGTTTCACCCTATTTGAGGTTTGTTAGATAGGTGTGTTTGATCCCCAGTAAGGGATGATATCCACAATCAGACACCGACCCAATGGTTGTCTCTGCCAACGTCAAAGGGTTATGTACCAAGCCAATATGTGATGACAACCAAGCGTTATGCAAAGAATATGCTAATTTTATAAAGATTTGGTTTGTTCCACGTTTAGTCACCACCTGATATCAGTTAACGAACCAGTGGAAAACCAGGGAGTACTGGACAGCCGTCTTATTCAAGTTGTAGACTCTTCATCAGTTCGCACCCAAAACCTTTTAGTTTATTATAGAAAATTTATATCAGGATAGATAGAAAATCAAAGCAAGTGATTCAGCAAAGAGACGTTCTTCAACGAATTTATTATCAAAATATTCACTCATATTTATGATTTTACATGTTATAAATAGTTGATAAGATGCAAAATATCTTATAGAGGAGTGCAGAATTCATACGATTAGTAGGCAATTAAAATGATACCCAAAAAGGCGAGTACATTTATAAGATAACTGGAAACAATTATATTGAATTCAGTAATAAAAGGAACAAGTCAGATGGTAACAGAAATTGTTTTCTTTATTCCTTTACGTTCCCATTGGAAAATAGGGCTTCAAGCCAAAGCATTTGAAGCTTCGGTAGAAGTGGTGTTTATTTTTTCCGTGATGATGTTGCTAGCCTCATGCCCAACCTTCCGTCTTTATCGATCTTACTGATTGGCATAGCGAGGTTTAAGAGTGCGTCGGCCAGGAATCGATCACTGGTTCACATACGTGGTTGGCAAGCGCTCTACCTGTGAACCATCAATGCACAATAGAAATTGTACAAATTGAAAGTAATAACGCCGATCAAGGAATAAAAAATACGGATTAACTAAGCAAGACGAAAAATAAAAAGGTCAATGACAGAGACAGGGACTATAATAATTCAACACTAGATGGACTAAGACTATAACAGAAGGAATATCTCAGGACAAATACTCGCCAATGACACTGGATGGTGGAGGTACGAAAAATTGGGAATTCATAGGATTTAAAATTCCGGGGTCATTGGACCCCATCGCAATGGTTGACTCATCAAAGGGTTGACCTCATAACCTAAAAGTCTTTGGCTCGGTTCCCAGTGGAGTCATGTGTGTACTGCTGAAGAGTCCCACACTAGGACGAGACAGTTGTCTAGTACCGTTTGATTTTTAGTGGTTTTTTAACTACTCTCAATCAGTAGTCAAATCTATTCACTTATTGAGCTTCTTATAGCTCCACTTAATTCGTACCTGTGATTTCTCGTTGATATATCTGGACTGGGTTGATAAGTTTCATTTTAAGATGTTAGCTCTTTGAATGGGTGGGTGTCTTGATATTATCAGGGTTAAAAACTCAATTAATAACTCAGTGTATACATACTCTAACATGTTTTTTGTTAGCTATCCTTAAAAATACGCTGTATACGTGTTTTCATAGCATTTGTCATACTGACGATATAAGCACCTTGTTTTCAGTTGAAATTACCGTTTAGATTCCATACAGGTAGGCATAACTGAAAACATCATATCAAACAAGTAAGTGGTAATCAACAGAATGGAATAAAAATACAATTTCAAACTGCAGTAACGTTTAATTATATTTTACCAGTAGTTTGTATATCTTCTGTCTGTGAGAGACGAAAATATCCTCAAAAGAAAATCAATCTTCAACGAAGAGGAGTTATAAAGAGTGAATGGAATAATTTTCAAGCATTGGTTTTGTGGGATTTTAATTGATTGCATGGAGAATTTCATCATGAGCAGGAAGTACTGGACAGCTGTTTCACCAGCCTGCTTTTAGACTTTTCAGCAGTAAGCACCACCACCGTTCAAACTCGGGACAGCTTGGTCACTGCGTCGGGTACTAGTGGCTTAATGGTCTACGAGCTTGCCTTGTCTCAAGAAGGTCCTGCATGGGTGCGTCCTGTCGAAGAGTCCAAAACTAGGCTTATGAAACAGTTGTCCGGTACTCAATTCATGATGAAATCCTCCATGCAATCAAATAAAATCCCTACAAAACCAATACTTGAAAATTAATCTGATGCTCACTAGACTGGCCTATTCAGGTAGTTAACTGGGTTCTAGTGGAAGCGTGAAGTATACACAGGTTGAAGATGAGGCAGTAACTCATCGAAGAAGACATTGCGAAATGGTCACGCTATGTCGTGAATTGGCAGAAGTTGGAATTCAAGGACCATTGGATCGGTCCAGTGGCTCATTCACGAGCTCCTTACAGTGGTTCTCTAACTGATGTCAGCTCATGATGAAATCCTCCATGAAAGGAATAACTCTTGAATTTATTTTGTAAGGGTAAATACATTCTGAAGTGAATGACGGCGACAGTATTACCTCTTTTAGCTTTTATCTAAGATTCATGAATGGATAAAGTTTTCGTTACTTTTTATTGGATGGTTTGAGTTACATTCGTAAGACACAGTGCGGAGAATCTCTGGCAAGTAAGTTAGTAGGAAACGATGAAACAGAGATTTGAATAAAACTTCAGAAACACTCACGTTGAGATATGTATCCGTCACACTGTAAATTCTGGTTTACTCATGACCTTTTCCTCAAGACGGTGAAGTTTATGGAAAAAGAGTCCATTTTTGGTGTTTCTGATGTTTGTGGTATTTTAGACACACGCAGACACACAGCAAATAAGAATATTACAGAAAAAAGTCGCTTGGAGATCATTTTTACTAATCTATAAAAATATGAAGGTGAATACTTGATGATACGTTTGGATAGAAGACACTGAGTAGAACGGATATATTTTCTACTTCAGAGGCAAGCGAATTGAGAAGATAAACAACAGCAACTTGTCCTTAACGTTTCTTTACATCCTCAGTTTTGTAGGGACACATAGTTGGAGTTAAGCTGCAAAACGTTTTCCCTATAATTCATCTGTTCCTCTGGTTCATGTGCTATCTAAGCATATTAGTCATGACATAACACCATGATTTTCCATCGGAGCAGGGGGAGAAGTTCCCCGTTCACTGTATTCTGGAATACCAGGTTGATTTCGGACATCTGATTATGAGTTTTTCTAGCAAAAATTGCAGTCAAATCACCTTGAATAAGAAAATAAGTGAGGTTATAAGCTTACTCTTGGATAGACAACAGAACAAAGCAAGGGGGAAATAAATGCAGCATTCCAAGTATAGTTAAAGTAAATCTAAATACAGTTGGTTAACTTGCACAACAATAATTAAATTATAAAAGATAAATACATAAACAAATTTACTAAAACGACAGGAATATGATAAACATATATGTGTTTCATTTGATCGGATTCTAGCCAGTAACTAGTGTAATGTGTCTAGTCAGTCAAGTTCGCAATGTGGCCACTATGATAGGTGGCTCACCATCACGGTGCACTGTGAATTTCTGATATTAGGTGGCTGGAGGCATTCAGCAGGAAACCTTGGATCTAGCCTTCGTACCTGTTAGCACTCATCACCAAGGCTTGTCTGCAACCTTGAAAGAACTCATGCCGCTACTGAGATTCGAACTCGCCTCTCACAGTGTTGCAGTCAGAGATGTTACGACTGAGCTACTCGGGATCGCAACTAACCTACTGTAGGACTTTATGGGATACCTTGATTGAACATTAGTTAGTAGTTAGTGTAATATGTCTAATCCTTTGTTTGGTGCAGATATGCCTTTGCGACGAGCGCTAACTAGCATGAAACTTAGGTTAAAGGCTTCCTGCCGATTGTCTCTAACCATGTAATATCAACAATATATATGTGTATCCTCATCTTGGAGGTCAGTGGTTCGGTGGTAGACCGCCTCCTGGCTACTCAAGTGGTGCACCGTTCGATTTACGGCTGACATGCACTCCTAGACATTTTCGGGTTTACTGACTGGCAGTAAGCTTCAGTAAAAGGCAATATGGCGCAATCCCAACCCTTGAAAAGAAAACCATGGCTAATCAAATTTCAAGTCCTTAAGCCTGGAACCTTCTGTCTAACTCGGAACGCAAAGGAATAAAGAGATGTGTGTCCTCTTGTAAAGCTAAGCAAAGAAAAACTTCTGAAGGAAAATGTAACAGACTGTAAAGGAAAAAAACTGGATTCCCCAATGCCCACACATAAATAAATTACGTAACACAATAGCACCTGTTTACAATTTCAGTACGCACCTATTTGGTTCCATTTTAGTACTTATCAACACTTGTCTGTGTTATAATGTAATTTATACGTCTATGTTTTTAAACTCCAACAGGTTCTGCTAATCAATTCATGATGTTCTGCAGTTAGCAAGAGCAAAGTGTAACCAAGGTCATATTATCAATGAAAAACATCCTCAGAATCTGTATATTCAAAATGTTGACGCTGGCATCATCATCATCATCTCCAGTATCCTCAAGATATCTAGCATTCACAGTATTATTGAACCTATCTTATCTTGATTCAGCCAACTGTATGTACGATGTGAAGATATGCTATTTTTAAATTTCACTTATTTATTCCATTTCATCATGGTCATGTGTACTATTGACTACTTAATTCGTGCAGGTAAGTAGTTTAATCAAAGTGTTAAAAATGTTTATATGGTGTATATATACACCTTTATTTCATTTAGAAACCGAATATAGCTCAAAATTTAAGAAACAAATGAGAATGGATTATATTGCTATTATTATTATAAGTATAAACTGTAGTCAGGTATGCAGTAAACTGCAGTACCGTTTAACGAGGAGAGGTGTGGGGTGGGAGCATGTCGCAACAGTTAGCAGCTCTGATGGAAGAATAGTCAAGTTGTCAAATTCCACTGGAATGAAAATGTTCAGGAGACATTTTAAGCACCGTATTACTTGCAAATGGACAATGAGGAGAGAGTAAAAAATTAATTAGGTGAAACAATCTTATTTTTCATTAGTTGTCGGCTTATTCTTAACTGATTACAACCTGAATAATATCAAAGCAAATATGCATTATGTAAGAACTGGATACACATTCAGGTTGACAGGAAACTGTAAATATCACAGGTCACCAGTAATACAGTCAGCAAAAGTGGACACAGTTGTGGAGTGCTATGCTTATTGACTATTCATAGGACAGCAAGGTGAATATTCTTGGGAAAAGGAAGGAATCTTAGGTAGTTTAAGGTAACTGGAAGGAAGCTGTGCATCTAGGTTTCGTGCATATTAGGACTAGTCAATAAGGCATATTTGTGATGCCAGAAGAACTGGTGCCAGTGGTACAGTCAGAGATATCACCACGGACCTATTCAGCCACACAATGATATCATAAACAAGATTTAAATGGAAATGGTTTAGGGATGTAACGGATTACGTAACTGAAGAATGGTTTTCACAGAGCATTTAAAGTCACTTCCTAATTTCAGCGCTAACGCGCATGTGCAATACAGGAGAACATAGAAGGCTACCATCTAACTAACTTTCGTCTTCAGGTACACTGAAATACAACATAAGTGTTGCATAACGAGTTTATCATTCATTTCGGATTGAGAACAATTTATTTATTAACCAGTAACTCATAATAACTAAGAAGATGAAACTCAATAGGTGTTAAAAGTGTTGGTGCTTAACTCCATGTTAGTTTGTTTATTAGATGTATCACACAGTGAAACAGTATTATTATTTACTGGATGACACAGTTTTGAACAAAATTTATTGTTCATAATCATATCAATTATAATCACACGACTTCGAAACTTGAGTTTTATAGTTTTCTTTGTTCTCTCCTATTTGTCGTCATAGGGGTAGTAGAATTTTCCAGATGTCCTGCTGGACAGGTGTTGAATCATTCCTATTGCAGACACGTATTTGCAGTACGGAATTCACCAATTTTTTAAGCGATAAGTAGTGGTCACAAGTCAACAATGCATTTAATGGTTTGCGTTTAAACACCGACCCTTGGGGACTTTTCCATGAGTGTATAATAGTCTCTTCTATGGGTGTAATCAAACAGGTTGCTATCATAATGTGGCTAGAAAACACTAAGTGAATAAGTTAGTTAGCTAGTTAGTTACATGGTTGTTTGACGTTCATTATGAGTATGCTCTTTACTTTTGTTTTATTTGTCTTCTTTCAATATATTTGAATATATTTTTATACATGCAGGACAAACTTCGGCATCAATCACCAATAATTTATCATACAAATATTTATCAAATAATAAATCATCGGAATATTTAAAAATGAATAGTTTACAAAGAATGAATTCAATTATCCCGCATCGAATAAAGCCTAAATCAGATTCACATCAACCATATATCATTCAACGTTCCCGTAAAGATGTATACGCAAGGTTACCATCGATTGAAGAATGCATTTCAGATCAATATAATTATGCTGTTATGAAAGGTAAGATGACAGTTAAATATATGTGTGTTTACTATGTATACACTATACTTATCTGATGGTAAAGCATTCAAAGTTTGCAAAATATCAGTAGAAGTATAGATTTGAAGACACCCTTGTCTACTGTAAAGCTTTTCGTGTAATCGATTGATCTAAGTTCGTTTAAAAGTAAGCTGAATTTTCACTCCTTCCTTTAGTTAATCGACTGGGATGGATATTCATTAGCATATACTGACACCCCACTACTATCTTCAGAGATATCCTGATAATATGTTAAAAATCCATGAAGCATTTTTGTTAATGTGGTGAGGTGTTGGGCTAAGTAATACTGGAAACCACTGCTTATTTTCATTTAGTGTCATAATGCAAAATACTAGGCCTTCTCAACCCCGAATACTGGTTTCGAGTGTCAGTGACAACATCATCAAACATTTTGTTCGATACACACGAATCAATCCAGCTGCAATGAATATCCTAGCTAGCGATTTCATAGTTAATGCTGTCGCCTTTAAATAAAGTCCATGTTGACTGAATTTTAATAGCTTTTGTGTCATTAACTACAAGCGAACACTAGCCAAAACATCATTTCACGGGGAGAGAATAATATGCTTCCGTGATGAATTTGAGGAGAAGCTGCAGATCACAGAAAAGTGTCTACAAGACAACAGATGTCCACAAAGATGTGGAAACAAAAGAATAAGGAATACCACACTGAATCAAGGAAAAAACTCTATTCATAAGCCTAAAATTTCAGGGATAACCAACAGACGAATTAAGAAATCAGTGGCTAGGACATTCATTTCTATATTTCCAGTAGACAATTTCAAAGACAGGATAGGGAAAGTAAGACAGACATTTATTACTCTAAAACCATTATGGAAATCTGCTGCAATCAGCATAAAGAACAAGATTCGAATTTTTCAACAGTAAGGTTAAAACAGTGCTTCTATATGTTTCAAAGAGTATGAGTATGGGTCCTATCATTATCAGTAGTAGTATTATTAGAAGTCAGGAGAAGTTTAGTATGTGCAACATACTGAAAATGACATGAATAGAGGAGTGACTTGGTGCATCTTCAACAGCCAGCTGCAGAATCTTATCCACAGCTGTCTTCTCTGACTGCACACTGAAGATCAGATGACCAGAACCAACTAATAGTAGAAAACTTCCAGGAGAAACCATTTTCCCAACAAATTTACCGAAGGAAATAGCGATGAATTGGACGCACACCGAGGAGTGATACCGCATGCCAGGCCTTCAGGTGGAACGTGGATGGGAAACAACCAGCTGGAAGTCCGAGAGTGACAAGGAGAAGATTGTGTGAGGAGGCGATGAGAGCTTAAGGGCGATCATGGAGCCAGCTAAAAAGGATCGCAGAGAATAGGATGAATTGAACATGTTCTGCTGAAGCCCCATGTTCCACCCGGAACGAAAAGGAATAGTAATCAGTATAATAAGCCAAATTTTCGTTAGCTCAGTCAGAAGTTGACAGATACCCTTCACTTGTTAGCGCCAACTGTGTATATCAATTTATGTGAAGCTGATAAAGCAGACATACAAGAAGAATAGATTTTCTGAAAGTACTGTCAAACTGAGTAAAAGATGTGTGCAACTGACGTGTTTTCCAAATAGAAGAAAGTCTATATGCCCTATTCAAAAATCGTCAACTACTTTTCAGTATTTTTTAAAATTCCTTTATGTTCCCAGTGGAACATAGGGCGGCTTCAAGCTAGAGGCTTGAAGTTCCGGTAGCAATGGTGTTTGTTTTTACGGGATGGGGTTGCTAGCCTCATGCCCTACCTTCCCTCTTTACCAATCTTATTACTGGTTTAGTGAGGTAAAGGAGTGCGTTGGTGGCCAGGGATCGAACCCCGAACCACCTGGCGTGGTTGGCGAGCATTCTACCGCTGTGCCATCGACGCACCAATCAGTTAAAGAAACGTGACCTCCATGAAAACCATCTATTACTATTATTATTATTATCAAGAGAACATGAAATCAGCTAACTTTTATGCAGATGTCTAGTTCAGTTTCTTACTTATAAATGCATCAGTCATAATCCTGGTTTGTTGTTCATTCCTTATAGTAAAAAGACATAATTCAGCTGAAGAAGTTTTTGTTTTGACCGACCGTAACCAACTAATCATTTGGATAACTGAGAATAATAATAATAAGAGTAATAATTACAACTCATTGTCTAAAATTACTTTGTATGAAATAGATTATTCTTCATAAAATAATTTTATGCTTCATGAGGCAGAAATGTTATCAGACATTTCGCTTGATTGTTTGTTTGTTCGTCTCTGCGGGTGTGTGTTTGTGTGTGTGTGGTAGAATATCAGTATGCCGACACAAATTGCTCACTTCAAGTCGGATGGGTAAGTATATCAGGAGAATTAAAAAATGTTTGTAGTAGCAATTAATATCTGTCTGAGACAGAGGATAACTGTAATAGAGCAACAGCTTATTAACTTACACTCTGGTGATTGGAGAAGCCAGTTTAGAGCTTGAGTTCTATCAGAAACACTGTCACTCACTGAGATGTCTGGAAAACTCACTGGCTGATAAATTCACACTATTTAAATCTGTTTTACCAGATTAAGTAATGAGATTGCCTATTTCAAAGAAAGTACACGTCAACTTAGCTCACAAAGTGACGCCATTAAAAAACCCGTTAAAACTTACGGAGTACTGAATAAATATTTCGGGAATCTTCAGTAGTACATACAGATGAAGATTTCCGAACTAGGACGGAAAAGCTGTCCAGTGCTGTTTGATTTCCAATCGTCCTTTGTTTAATACCTTTTCGTGATCTTACTCAAAACCTGTGGAATACCTAGATGCAACACTTGAAAAATACACATCCGAAATAAGGATAGAAAACCCTCTTATATAAAAGCCGTACATGGTTATAATTTCTAGGCATGGCCCACTTTCTACACAATCTCCTCTTAATTTTTATGATTTGCGGAAGGACAAACTTTTGTCTAGCATACTACGGTAAAGTTAAATGGAGTTTCTTCGTACATTTATTTCCCTTCATGAATATCAATAAAGCGAGAACAACAATTTGTACAGGATAATATGACACCATCATTATCTTTTCGCCGACTTCTCATCAGCTGCACACAACCTAAAGAAATTGTTGAGTTTATGTACTGAACAATTTTAACATACTTGCAAATGTTACACAATGTCAGCTAACAGAAGACTGCAACTGTAGTGAACAGTGCCCAAAATTACACTAAAATAATTTTTACCCAGAGAGTTGAAGTCGAAACAAAAATAAATGTTTGCAAAGAATGGTAAAGTTTAACTCACATCTTAGAAACAAGAGACACACAAAATTACACTGTATCAAATGAGGGGAGGTAGAAGTCAGAGGTTGCATGGTCAATTGAAAAAGAGAATAAAGACATCGAGTTATCAGGATGGATAAGGAAAGACTGATAACTGCTTCTTTCTGAACACATATGTTGGGTTTCAAGCGTTTAATAGCAATTGCTTCATATAACTTGGGGAGAATCCAGCTATTCTGTTTATTCACAGTTTTTAAAAAAGGTACGTGATTTCCACTTTATAACACGTATTAATGTGATGTTTGGCAGTGATACTGTTGTAGGCGTTTGTTGTCTTGAGACGTAGACTTTTTCGCAAAAGTTTAGAAAATTAGAAGAATCCTCTTTCTCATGTTCTTTCTGATGTAACTGCTCCTACAGATGCATGTAAATTTGTACACACAGTTACAGTTAACATGAGAAGGGTATCTGTAGACCTTTGAGTGCACCAAACTGCATGTTGTCCAATCAATGGGAACTGATTTAACTGCAGGATACGTCCTAGCTTATGAGATATCCAATCCTCTGTTGACTACTCCCATAATATTACCATCCTTATGGTCGAACTGTATGAAGACGGACTTTTTTCCAACTGTGATGGGTTTAAACTTGAACTTTGTGGGTACAAGCCGTATAAGCGTAATCTCTTAGAATTGTTTATTAAGTTTACGGTCCTCCGTTAGCTGATATTATGAAACACAAAGTTGTCAATTACACTAGGCTATGTGCAGATGATGAGAGGCTGACGAAATAAATGATGATATGAGATAATTCAGCACAAGTTGCTATTCTTGCCTCATTCGAAAACATATATGAATGTAATAATGTAAATTTCAGGCAATGGGTTTCATAACTCGAATTAAATAAGTCATATCAAATGTTTATGTAACAATTTTTCACTGCTCACAATATAGAACAGATTTTTTGGGATGACTTTTTAGTATCATATGCCTCGTAATCTACTGATATCTATTATTAGTAGTATGTAGCAACATAAGATTTCCCTATGAACTATGTATTCTGTCACACATAAGCTTAGGTTCTATGTCACAATATGTTGAAATAAGTGGAAAATAATTCGTACGGTTTAAATGACTTGGCTGTCTGGCCTGAGTGAATTAATTCACATACCTGGCTGATAAGGTCATTTCCAAATAACAGAAATGGCTGTCCTAGGTCTCAGTCATTAGGATCGCAAATCATCAAGAGAATAGAATTCCAACTACTTATCCTGATAAGTAGTACATATTAGTATATTTCAACCTGTTTATTACAGTTGACGTTCACATATGCGGTGACGAAAAGGATCAGAGGTGTTAGTAAGCAGAGTGATTTACTGGACCAAGTACAATGTATTCTCAATTAAGACTTTGCCATGAACCAGTACCATTAAGAGATTACAAGATATTAGTGAGCAACAGATATCTGCCTGGTACTAGTTTGGGACATTTTTAGGAATGCTCACTTCTGACCGAAAGTAATATCTTCAGGCTAAGTAGCGAGCCTTTTGAACATCCAGCCACTAGGACAGAATCCGTCGACCCATGAATTCAGTTTCATGTCGACCCATGATATATGTTGTGCCACTGATAGCCAGTATCATCGGCAGGTTACTCAGTGACAAAATTATGCTCTTCACAACTTTTTGCAAAGAACTGTTTCATATGTCCAAAGTAACTGCCAAACAGTGATCAGTTCAGTTCTACCTATCGGTATCTGTTGATCATTACTTTTTTGGTGGTGGCTAATAATGGAACTTATGATCGATTTCCATCCGTTTTTGACACTCGTCATCTGGATGTTGTAAATGATCCGCTAGAGACTCAAACTCCAGCACCATAGTTCCAAAAGGCATGACAAAACCTTCTCTTGTGCAATGAATATCTCGTATTACCTGTCAAAATTAGTATTTTGAATTTCTCAGTAGACGGGTTGTGAACAGGACAAAATGCAGATCATGGATTCCGGAGGTAGTTAAGACCGAACAAATAACTTTTACCTAACTATTCATGGTTACATAACAAGGTTCTTGGTCAAGGAAGCCATATATTAAAATGAGACTAATCAGTATAAACAGGAAATCTCAGCCAGGAATACATAATTCCATTTCCCACTAAGGAAAATGCTTTCAGTATAGAGTTACTCTTTTCATTGATATCATTCTCAGGCTGTGCAATCGCATATATATATATATATATACAGTGAATTTTCTAAGCAACCATAGGAATATCTCCAAAAACGTACTATTAGAATTGTAAATTGTTTTCAGATAACAAATTACGCAATATGAAAACGGCGCTGATTGAGTAGAAACTAAAATAATGTTAAAAAAGTAAATTGAGCGACATAATATAACTGACGGGATTGAGTAAAATTCAACCAAAATTGAATGAGAGTCAACTTAACAATAGTGGTAATCAGGGGGAAGAAATTTAACGGTGAGAAAAGAGAATAATTTTCAAGTATTGGTTGTGTAGGGATTTTGTTTGATTGCATGAAGGATTTCATCAAGAGCTGACATCAGTTAGAGAAACACTAGAAAATCTGGGAGTACTGGACAGCACTGGACAGAAGACATTTCGAAATGGTCGCGCTATATCGTGAATTGGCAGAAGTTAGAATTCAAGGACCAATGGTCTATGAGCTCGCCTTGTAACCAGAAGGCCCTGGGTTCGAATCCCGATGGGTGCATACTGACGAAGAGTCCCAAACTAGGACGAAACAGCTGTCCAGTACTCCTAGGTATTCCAGTGGTTCTCTAACTGATGTCAGCTCATGATGAAATCCTCCATGCAATCAAAACAGAATAAGGCAACTGAAAAACAAATAACGAAAATTTCCAGAATTACGTTTTTGGTGTTATATCAGGTCAGGTCCATTGTAAATTTAGTGACTGAAGAACCTTCTCGTGTATTTGGAGTTCCAGATATAACATTTGAATCGCCACTGCTTCTGCCTTGTCAAGAAGTTTGATTTGCAACCTTTTAGCAAGATTCCTGAGCATTGCGTCAACCATTTTGAGGTTGATTTGTGGGTTAGATTGGTGACCAGAATAGATCGGATTTTCCAGGATGGAGCCGCAGGGGTAAGTATTCGATAACACGCTTGAATGGTAAACGCTGAGTATGGCCAACATACCTAGCTTCACACGATCAAGTGAATTGATAGGTGCATATTTAGAAGGCCAGCAGTAGGTCGCTTATCCTTCACGTTTATGAGAATCATTGATCTTGTGGATCGAAGTTTAGCCCACAAGAAGGTTTCATTCAGTGAGTAGGACACGCAGCTTCTCAGTATTACTGACGATGAGTCTTATTTCGTTTCCTTAATGAATATTAATCAGATATTTGTTCATTTGAATTCTGAAACATAGAATAATGTTGTCGCACTATGAAACAAGTTTAAAAACAATTCTATGTACATTTTCTGTTTCTGTCAATTGTCAAGGTTGTCTATGCTATTTATTTCAAAGTACCGGTTTAAGTAATGGTTCATTTGAGTATATGTCAAAAACACAATCAAGATCATTGTGGAATTCAACGAAATGTCTTATCTACACATTTGTTGGTGATTTAAGCGAAATTGTACATATACGATTATTAGAATTCAGTTTAGCTGTGAAGAAAAGTAAAGATTTCAAAGGAATACAGTAAGCAAATTTTAATATATAGTTTTTCATGCCTTTTTGTGTTTAGTTTTTGTCGATGTTCTTGCTTTTATTTCTTTTTTGATTATAGCTTGAAACCACACGGTATTTTTAGTACAAGTATGGAATTTTCAGCATATGATATCGGTAGCCCAAATTTTGCAGGCCAACCATTGATATCAGGTGTGCGTCGACAGGGGATCGAACCCCAGACCATGTGCATGGTCGGCGAGAGTCCTAACCACTGTGCCACCGACGCACATTAAATTATATTAAATTTTAATTGTAGACTATATTTAAGTCATCGGAAGGAAGTCTCCAACGTAGATTTCGTGTTAACGGATACTCATCGTCCATCGCGAAGGAACTGCCATCCTCTTTTAGATTTTAAGATGTATCAACCAAGGTTGTGTGCAGTGAGAGATGTGACCAAGGGGGTTGAATAGATTAGTTGCAGCATCTTTACCTCAGAATTAGCCTTACTGATAAGTGTTCAAGTTATACAAGCGGAAAATATTGTTTTTAATTAGATGTTCCTCATCTTTTACTCTACTGTATATGGCTTTCAAATGTGAGCGAATACATGTGAAATTTTAACCATTTACGGTGAGTTAGTGATAAATGTTAGTTGTCGAAAATAATAACACCGATAACAGTAATAATCGTATCAGTGACAATTGTAGTAGCTGATACAACTGGAGGTCAGGATATCGAAGATAATGTGAACGTCTCAATAATTAAATAAAGTCAAGCTTTTATATGACTCTATGTTAGATAATGCTACAGATGAAGTACTCATAGATGGTACAGTGCGCTCACCAGATACATAAGAGTCCCTGATTCGATTCTCCGCTAACATAATCCTAAAATTTGTCTAGCCAACAATGGTAGTTCCGGGAAAGAGGGAAGGTTGGACGTGAGGCTAGCAACCCCACTCGGGATAAACAACATTGCTGCTACTGAGACTTAAAGCCATATGTACCACTTAGAATGCAGGGGCATATCGGGATATTTATGGAGTAGATCAATATAAAATTGCTGGAAAATGCACTGAAATATAAATATTTGCTTAGAGTGCTTCAGAGACACCATGAATGCATCTTAATGTCCCTCAGACGCCTCAAATTACCTTCAAACTGACATAAATGTTTCAGAATTTCATCAGAATTTTTCACCATGGTAGATGCCATAGCTTTGGCTACATATAAGACAACGAATAATTTCTTATGTACCGAAAGTATTCTTTTTTAATTTCTAATTGATTAATTGTACTATCTGAAGTTTGATCATGGATTGATGTCACTTAGAGAATCATTAAAATGACGGTTGCAACGAAGAAAATCCTCTTTTCGACGAAGTCATCATCTAGGCTGTACATTCGTGTATTTATATCAAATGGATGGGAAAGTTCCAGAATAATTTCCGGTTAAGGGTCAAATTAATAAAAATTACATTTAGGAATTAGAATGTCATAATAAACAGGGGGATGGGTAAAACTCAAACAAAGTAGCATAATAACTAAGAAGATTGACATTGTGCAATTGGGGGTTAGAAATGTAGAAATAACAAAATAGACAGGATGTTTGGATAAAAAACTAATGTGATGAATAATTGTTTATGCAATCAGGGATTAAATATGTAGAAATAGTAAAATGACAAAATAAACAGGAAGTGTGGATATGAAAGGCGATGAGATCGTCATTACTAGAAAAATATACCTGTTTATGATGGCCATGGCAGGGACAGGGGTTGGACGTATTTCTTTTGGATACAAAGCGTGGGTTTGAGCTTTTGGATAGCTAGCGCCTCAGCTATGCCCAGATGTCTTGATTTCACTCCCTTTGATAGGTTTGATTGAATCTTGTATATTACTTTGAAGGATTTTTTGAAAGGCGCTGAATGTCCTGAGTTGACCAGATGTTCTGTCACTGAACTGTATACACGTTTTTGGTCTCCTTTACTAGCCAGGCTGGGTAGTGTTTGCGAGCGCGTTTTTCAAGTCGGCGCATGGTACGGCCAATGTACTCAGCTCCACAAGAGCAAGTAAACTGGTATATGCACGTTGAGGTGGCCCAATGCGACAGCTTGTCTTTCGCGTTCTGGCTGAACAGTTCCTTGCAGGGAAACGTCAGTCGTAGGCTCGCGGCGAAGTATCTTTTCTTCAGCGATTTGGAGAATCGTTTATGAAGGATTTCTGCTTCAATATCACCTTTGAATTCTAGATTAAGCAGAAGTATTTTCTTTAGAACGGATTGGACTTGTTCGGAAGTCTTCTTACATTATTATTTATTATATTTATATTAAATGTGTGAGAAAGTTCTAGATTTATTTCTGGTCAAAGGTTAAATTAATAAAATTACAATGTGTAATAATCAGGAAGACCGGGTAGAAAAGACATAATAAGATTATAATTACTGGAAAACTCGTCAGCTTGTATAATTACGGATTAAGGACGTAGTATTAACAAAAAATAGGTAGGAGGTTCGGACATATAAAAATTAAAAAACAAGTAACCAAATCTAGTAATGCAGATAGATAGGAATTAAAAACTTCAATATAACAGAAATAAACGGGAAGGTTGGACAAGAAAGGTAATTGGATAATCATTATTGCTGGGACTGACTTTTCATGATGGCCACGGAAGAAGGCTTGAGTTACTGGATTGCCAGTGCCTCAGCTAGTCCTAGATATCTTGATTTCACTCCCTTTGGTATGTTTGATCGGATCTTCTATATGGCTTTGAAGGACTTTTCAAATGAAGCTGAGAATCACTGAAAACCAACACTGGACAGTACTGGACAGCTTTTTCCTCCTACTCAGGGACTCATCGTCAATGTGCATCCACCACCAGGGTTCAAACCTAGGATATTCCGATTACAGAGCAAATTCGTAGACCTTTGAGCCACTGAGATCCGAATCAGTGGCCAGCTCACGAACTGTAACCCCTACTTGCTCATGATTTGAAATATATCAAATTCCTACAAAGAAACACTTGATTATGTCATAGGTTTGATAAGATGGTTTCTGCTTGACAGTGTCTAACAGTTGAATGGGAGCGATGTGCTTCATCTTATTTGGAATTCAGTAGGAACACCATCACTCTTCAAGATATAGGTGCGCATAGCTGATAAACTCCGGAAAGAACGGAAAGCGCATCCTAAAGATTCCACTAGGAGGTCACAGTTCATCAAATAATTACTGGTTTTCATCATCAAATAGCGTCGGTGGCATAGCGGTTAGGATGCTCGCCGACCATACACATGGTCCGGAGTTCGATCCCCTGCCGACGCACTCCTTTACCTCACAAAGCCAGAAATAATGCTGGTAAAGAGGAAAGGTTGGGCATGAGGCTAACAACCCCATCCTGTAAAAATTGAACACTGCTACAGAAACTTCAAGCCACTAGCTTGAGGCCCTATGTTCCACTGGGGAACGTGACGGAAAAAAATCATCAAATACTTTTCTTAATACAGTGTCTCAAAGCAATGACTTCAACCGAATCGTTCCATAATAAAACCACTCCCCAGGATCTAAAAATATAATCCCATCTTTTTTGATTTCCTCAATGAGCCACTGTTCAAGTATCCCTGACTGAATGAGACAAGTCGAATCATCTAGGTACTTATTACTTAGTGGTAATAAAAGCAATCTTAGATTAAATTATCTCTTTACTACTACTACTACCTGAAATTAGCTTCTACAAGAGATAAGAAACCATTCTGGAAGGGGGGGGGGGGAAGAACAACAAAAATAGAAAAATAAGATAAAACCATATGAGGAGATAACTGCGTCCCCCCACCTTCATTGCAATTGACTAGTATTTGCTCTCCTCTTTTCCTTATCCTCTCTTGTTATTATATGATAACAACAGAAAAGAGAGCCAGTTGTTCCCTTCCTCTTTACATTACTTACTACCTCTCTCTTTCTTGTTCTACTCAATTCAATCTGTCAACTGCAATTATTCGCCTTTCTATTGCACACTGTCATTCTCATCATTATAGTACTCATCTTAAGTAGTAAGTACTTATATATATAAATCATTGATGAATATATGTATTATGCAAGCTTAGGCTGTTTGTTTTCATACTACACACAAAAACCACTTCATGCCTCTCATATATTTTTCTCATTTAAATGTATGTTGGATGACTGAGGAAAAAGAAATGAAAAGAAGAAAACAGAACAAGAGAGAAAAACCCAGCAACAAAATTATCTAAATAACTTCAATCTACAATATGTATATTCAATTATCGTCAATATTTTATTTGTGTCAAACCTTAGAAAAGGAAGCCATTCAACAGATTAACACATTGTCTGCATATTCATTGAGGGGGAAATGCTAATTTCGGCCTTTTTATTACTAACATTACTATTACTAAACAATACTACTACTACTAATACTCTGTCTCCCGTCCTCCCTTACTCATTCGTTCATTCATTCAATAACTCATTCACTCATTCAACTACTGACCGAACCCACTTTTATGATTAAAAGCCATATCGTTAAGAACGGATACTTTGGTTATTATGCATGAATAACTTTGTGTGTATATGTGAAGTGTATACAAAGGGAAACATCTTGGACAAATTTAACGATGTTCATCCTGTAATACATTTTACCGTTGAGTAAGAAAAAGACTCTAGTATTTCATTCTTGCGGACCAGAAAAGAGGATGGCACAATAAGAAGAAGTGTATATGGAAAAAAACACCTACATCAACCTACTGGTCAGTATACTCATTTTCGTTTTGAGCTTTGTACCCTTGAAATACAAAGGCAATCTGAAAAAGTGCTTGGTTCACAGAGCACAAGACTAATCGGATCGAATGAAAGTCTTGATGGGGAAATTAATAATATTAAGCGGTTGCTGAGTGAAAATGGTTATCCAGAAAAGTTCATTGATAAGAATATGAATCGAAAGTCAAGGCAGGCCAAAGTACCAACATTTTCGAAAAGGCCTTACTCTTACAACTTTAGTTTTCCCGGGATAAGATCAGTGAGAAATTAACAGAACACTTTAGAAATGGGGTAAAAAGAGCACTCAGTGCTGCTAAATTATGTCATGTCTTCAAAACCACCTGTATTTTGCGTTCGGGATTTAAACTGCCTAATTTCACCTCTTCTGTGTGTATCTACCAATTTGACTGCTCCTGTGGAGCCAGTTATATAGGCCGTACAAATAGGTGTATTTATCCTCAGATTCCCAAACACCAACCTGCTTGGCTAAGTTAGGGACAAACAAAGTCCACTCATAGTTCTATACTATCTCATCTTGTGAACACAGAACACAAAATTGATATAAACAAGACTTTCAAAGTCATTTACCGCATACCAACAAATCTTAACTTTGCCTTAAGAGTTCGTTTACTAAGCATTGCTGAGGCTGACCATTGGGATCCACATTAAGAAACTGAACTTATGTATCCAAAAGAAGTTAGTTCAGACACTTTCCTTGCCTTGGCCACCAAGGTTTTAATTATCCTCAGTTTGTTGTAGAAATTTACTTAATTTTACTTGCTGTTCTATCTGCTATTATATTTACTATTATTTAAGCATCTTTAATGAACTGTAATTCCATTGATCTTATTTAACTAATCGATATTATTTAAAATACACCAATATTGGTAATGGCGACTATTCTAGAATATTCCATGTATATAAAAATGTATGTGAATGTAGAGCAAGAAGGGGAAGTTATCGAAAAGGATATTCTTTGCTCAATTATTTTATTTTTTTATAAATGTCTGAATGAACATCTCCGCTTTATCAAAAGGAAGATGTTGACGAGTTGCGATAGGCGTGAAACTTACCCCATGAATACCTGTCCATTACCTATGACCACCTGAAGGATAATTTGCCATGATATTCATTGTTATGCATAACTCCGCAACACTGTCAATGCTTCCGAATCGATGTAATCGGTCTCTATGTTACCACACACAGCTTTCCTTAGATGTTTGCTTACAATCTAACTATTGTATTGCAAACTCATTGTGGAGTCCACGGTGTGCATTACATTTGATTTCACAACAGTTAGGTAGAAATAATTCTACCGAAATTTCATGCATGATGCTACATATTACTGACTGGTTAGCATGAGTAGTTGTATACCACCCATATCAGTCAGTGGGACTTGTCGGTCTAGTAAGCTAGAATACATGGACACTGGTATCTTCCCCTGAAACTTATCCTTTCACTTGTCGAAAACTGTTAGCTGATGACATAGGATTAGGTTGGATCAAAACTGTGCGTCGGTAGGACGGCGATTAGGACGCTCACCTACCATGCACATGGTCCGGGGTTCGATCCCCGGCCAACGACACACTCCTTTATCTCGCTAAGCCAGAAATGAAAGTTGGTGAAGAGGTTGGTTGGGCATGAGACTATCAACCCCATCCTGTAATAATAAACACTGTTACAGAAATTTCAAGCCTCTAGCTTGAAGCCATCTGTTCCACTGGGAACGTGAAGTAATAAAAAAATAATTAAATAAATCAAAACTACCCATCAATCGATAAAGTCTTTGACTGTTGACTTCGGCCATTTAAGGAGGTGTACACTGCCTAACTTAAGTCCTCAAAACGCTTAGAATCAATGGCTTCAGAGTTTTGGTTCATATGAGCTCACTGCTTATGAATTCAAAGATTCATTAAGAGCTTATTACTCTTCATGTAATTATTCTTCAATCAGTACATTTTCGCTTGCCATATTTGCTTAGCATTATTTTCCATCTACCTTTGTGTGCTATTTGGAGTGTGTCAGCTTGAACTGTCAGATATCTGAAAGCCTGCCCAGGATTCTTTCCTAGCCGATATGTGATAAAATGCTATAATATGTCTAATAGGCAGTTTTGGAGTTAATGCATAGTGTGTTCGTAGGCATATGTAACTAAAATATTCTGAAATGGGATTAAACAGCTGGTTTTCGACTTGTTTCATAAAAAGCAAATTTTGTCGGCTTTTAAACAAAGTCGACCTCAAATTCTCTGGAATCCACTAATATCTAAAATTTAGCAGTATGCTGGATATCCTTAGCTAAATAGCTACTGAGTTCTATCACGGATTCTTGGCACAAATGCAATCTCAGTTATAATCTCTCGCATGCCCCAGTTTAAAACAATGGGTGAAAGGTTTGAGTCACAGTGAGAACACCATTATTCACTGAAGATGCATGCATATGCAGCTGACGAGTCCTAAATGGAACGAAATCCATGCCTTGAATTCTACTGCCATTCACCACTAGCGAAGATAACTCCACCTTAATCTGTAGACTTCGTCGAAGAGTCCGTACTGGAAGTCGACAAATCAAACTCAAAATGTCACATGAGTACTCTTATTATTTCCAGTATTGATTACAGTTCAGAAATTAAATCGGTTTGTAAAAAGTAATTCGGCTCTGCGTTCACGTGATTCATCAGTGACCTACTCCAATTTTTTCTATTGTCTGCGGAGAAGATAACCGATTTAGACATAGGACAAAGTCAGCGTAATTCTGATGATCGAAAAAATTATGTTGGACAAGAAATAAATTTTGGTAATTATCATGGGCAGATATTTTTAGTATAGATGTTATACATTCCGTCCTCGTAATATTTTGCGGTCGTGACATTTCACTAGTGCACATCGATTTTGTTAAATAGCTGACTAAGTGTATAATCCGGCTCTAGTTTTGATGAGTTATACGGATTAGTATTTAAAAGTGGTTGTGATGCACAGAGCTCACCAGTCCTTTGTTTCTCACACAGTAGCTTTTCCAGCGACATGTAAAAGTTCTTGAGGGTATACACCAAGGTTCCAGTGGCTGAATGGACGAAGACTTTACTTTTTAACCTAGAAATTTTGGGTTCGATAGCCCTATAATGCCACTGATGGGTACTACAGAAGAGAGTGAAACATATGCACAGTACAGTATGGCTTCTAAAGTAAGTTGGTTCGTGATATAAACTTGAAGAATCCAATCCCTTTTCTATCTAATATTTCATTCTTCTTTATGAATTTATTGATTTTTGTTTTCTCCATTTTATTTTCCTTTTGTAATTTACAGATGTACAACAAAATTCAGAGTTTATCATCAATTAGAAAGAGCTGAACTAATGTATAATGATCAACCAGATTATGAATTGTGCAGTTCGCATATAAATCAACTACCTGTACATGAATTCTATTCAACTGGACGTGTATTGATCATTGAACTTGATGGAATAATCACAACTGGGATGCTTGAAGGAAAACAAAAGTTTTTGGGGTTATTTGAATTTATCGATAAAGGTAAAAATGTGTATTTGGTAATGAAACTAAATGAGGTGAGAATCTAATTCATGGTAGCTTTGGAACCAATGGTTCCTTGAGTTACCAGTCAGACGATCAACCAACTAAGCTATGAGAACATCAATTAAACAATGTGCTTTCCTCTTTCTGAAGCTGCTTGGTATGACAGAGGATGCCTTAGCTGGCCAGTTAGTGTGATGACAAGCGAACATTTGCATATCACTGATTCATATGGTAGCTGGGCATTATCCATGGTGGCTATCTCAATGAAATGATGACCTGGATAATGATTTCATTTTGGAGGCTAACTAGTGGAGAGATTTCGGACTGGTAATCCAAAGACCATTGAAACGAATCCTACCATGATTCAGATTTTCATTTTACTCTTAAGTGTGTATTCTTTTTTTTAATTTGAAATATTTAATTCATTATTACTGTCTAGGAATTATCTGTGAGCAACATCGATAATTATCACAGTGTTGATCATTTTAAAAAATGGGAAATAAACTGTGAATAACAATGGTGCTGTATTATACAACTGCATCCGGGGGAATGTCTGTGTCAAATTCGCAGTTTGCGCATTCACTTATTACCATTATTTCCTTTAATTCCCAGAAGAACATAGGGCTTCAGCCGTGCGTCTCCATTGCGTTCGGTTCTCTGCTAGAGTTTTCACCTGGCTCCAAGTCTGCTCACATGCCTTGATCTCCTCTTCACAAGACCTCCTCCAAGTCACCCTCACACTGACGACCAACTCGCCGCTTCCCTTTGGAGTTCCACTCGAGGGCTTGTCTAGTAATGGCACTTGATGGTTTCCTAAGAGTATGGCCAACCAATCCACCTCCATTTCTTCCTGCATATTTGTTTTACAATCGGTTCCTGGTTGGTTCGCTCCCAGAGGTCCCTATTGCTGATCCTTTCTGGCCATCTGATCTTGAGTATTGAGTGAAGGCAGCTGTTGATTAAGGTCTGTAGTTTGTTTGAGGTGCTCTGTTTGGCGCGCTGGCCAAGTCTCTGATCCGTATAGTGAGTAGCAGTGACTTCGCACTGGAGTTGATAATCCGGATCTTATTGTTGGTGCTGAATGCTGTTGACCTCCACACAGACTTGAGAGTAGTGAAAGCTTGTCTTCCTTTCCCGATCCTCACTTTGATATCCTCGTCAGTTCCGTCCGCCTGTAGTTGAAACGATGCTTCCCAGGTAGATAAAGGAGGTTGTTTCTTTCAGGTTTCTCCCATTTATGCTGATTGTTGTCTGTTTTTGTTGCTGCTGTTGGTGTTGGCCAGGAATCTTCATCACCTCTGTTTTCTCTATGTTCACCTGAAGTCCTATCTTTGATGCTTATTCTGCTAACTTGTTGCTTTTCGCTTGCATATCTTCCAGTTTGTGGGAAATCAGACATATATCATCGGCGAAGTCCAGATCCTCCAAGTGAACTGTGAATAACAATGGTGCTGTATTATACAATTGCATCCGGGGGAATGTGTGCGTCAAATTCGCAGTTTGCGCATTCATTTATGATTTGTAATTTAAACAGTTCGAGACACGATTTCACTATAGCTTCCTTTGAAAACCAAAACTATTCATATCACAATATTTGACCTGCTTGATGTCATAAGTAGCATTCAATAAAGCAAGTACAAGTTCAAGATGTTATATACTTCCGATTAATCGATATATTTGAGTATTTAGAAACCAGTCACGTTAACCAGCTGTGATTACTCACTAGCCATATCTAAACACTGTATAACCAATTTACTCCTTTGGAATTGAGCTCATCAACAGTGTACTCGAACAGAATCAGCTCAGATACTTGTGTCAGTTCAAATTTTGGCCAAGCACTTGGGCGGACAGGTGATACTTTGAGTCGAACTGTCGAGCTGTACATCACGTAGCGATTTGCAATGTGTACAGCAAGAATAAATGTATGCATTTGATAGAACCCAAGATATCGTCATTCTGAACAATACCGCCATGAGACACTTGTTAAGAATGAAAACTAACCAGAAGGCTGCAAAATAAGAAGTCTTGGATAGTTGTCTCGCTTTGAATTGTGAATTTTCACATCTCTGTACCCCTAGTGCTATTCGGTTAACTTCACTGACCAGAACTATCAACTGTGATTACACTCGAGACTAAAAACAAGACATTTTAATCATTCCTGTCTGTCAATCTACACAGTTTATATATGATAACTGAGACAAAATATATTTTACTTATATAGCATCACAATTTTGGCACAATGGTGGAACATAGTACCATATACGATAAGTTTATTTCATGTATCACACAGTGATACGATAATAATAATGATAATACTAACTGGCTGACATTTCGATCAAAATCTGATCTTAGATGTCTTGATGAAATACATGAGTCGGTTATAAGATAGATAAGTAACGAAACTAATTCACAAGTCGATATCTACCAACAACATTTTATTTCAATTATAAAACGAATTTAATCCTTACAAACCAACTCCTGAAAATTAATCTGATGCTTGCTAGTGAGTTCTGGTGAGAAGTTGTGACCAGTGAGGTCCAACCAGTCAAGTGTGAGGATGGATTTCCCACTGGCGGCATTGATTGGTGGTCGCGTTAAAATCACAAATTGGTAGAAGTTAGGATTCACCGGCTGGTGATTTAATCGGGTTCCAATGGCTTAATGGTATACGAGCTAGCTTGCCTTGTAACCAGGGTGGTCATGGGTTCGAACCCTGATGGTGGGTGGGTACTGCCGATGATTCCCAAACTAAGATGAAACGGACGTCCAGTACTCCAGTGCCAGTTTTCAATGGTTCTCTAACTGATATCAATCGTGGTCAAACTCTTTACAAACCAACTCTTGAAAATAAATCGATAACCTGTTGGCGATAACACTTGTTATATCGCGAGGTTATTCATGTTCAAAATTCATAATTCACTTTGTCGTATTAAAAAGATTTTATCAATGAAAGTTGAAATAATCAGACAAATGAAACAAAACACGAGCTGATTGAATTTTAAAATCAATCAGTTATAATCCATCCGGTATTTAATCTCAACTGCCAAAAAATCGATAAAATCTGACTATCTACAGTCGAAACAAATCTGTTTCTCTTAATCGACAGCCAACTCGTGTTAAAATGTTAATCATTGAGTGAATTACTGGAAACCGATAGCCTACTGAACAGCTGTTTTGTTCTTGTTTAGGGCTTTTTGATTTTTGTCCAGCGACGGTCTCATCACAGGTCGAAAGGAGAACCTTTAGGCCATAACAATGAAATTAGTCGAAAATCCCTGCAAAACGAAACATTTGAATAGTAGTCTCCTACTCAATGATGATTAAAGACTACATTTCTTGAATTTGTAATGACAGTTTGTGACCCGTAGAGTACACCATGTCATCGGTGGCATTGGTCGATTCTAGCTCCATATACCCCATGTGATTCAAATCCACAGCTATAGATGCTACTATGTTTCGAAAACTTAGGAGCTAGGAGCGTCTCCGAATGCAGCACTGAGTGACGTGCGTCAGAACCTCGGGGAGGCAGGAGGCGCTATTTCTTTCGACGGCTGAAAATACACCTTGCAGACAAATTCCAACAAACAGGAAGCCTAGGTTGATGACTCTCTGTTGATAGCCTCTATTCACCTAACATAAATTCAAAGTGTACTGAGGTGAAGGATCTCTAAGCTTGCTCATCACATAGCTAACTTGACAAGTAGAAGTCTGTAGGCACCTAGTATGGTGGTGATTAATCAATCAGCACAATTTTCGCATATAAGCACATCAGCGTATTTACTAAACATTCTTTCATGCCTTACACAATTCCGTTTCAGTTTTCAACAAGATTTTCAAATAACTGAAATTAAAGTCAGAATATTTCATTAATTCATGGAAAATTCCCATTGTAACATGTAGAAAATCAAAACAAAAGATTCATCGAAGAGACTCTTTCCATTGAATTTATTATCAAGCTGTACAATCGTTTATACATGGGTTTTTTAAGAAGTTATATCCTGTGAGGGAACTGAACCATAGGTGTGAATGCATATAATAATAATAGTCTGAAATGCAATTAAAATTAAAATGTTTGTGATTGTAATCATAGTTAAATGTCAAGTGGTAAATGAAATTAATGTCATATATAGAATAATTCATAGGATGTACAAAAGTTGGAAAAGATGTGAAATTAAAGGATTATTGGGCAAATGAAATAAAAAAGGGGTTACGTGACATTGTATGAAATTTGATAACATAGAACTTAACGTTGTAAAGCAAAATTGATTTGGAATGACAAGTAGAACAGGTGAAATAATACCGGGGACATTTCAAAGTGAGAATAGTAATGGTAAAATTGACGTAATAAAAGAATTTCATACATTTGGTTCCCATGATAAATTTCGATAGAGAAAGAAAGACCAGATTTGCAGTATAAAATTATATCATTCTATTTCACAGGTTCCCATCAGCTGCAAACTGCCTGAAATTACAATGGTTATAAATAATAACATTTCATACTTCATTGTTTGAAAGGTAATAGAGAAAACATTATATGATGAACGCATCCGGAATATAAGGATTAAAATTTATAGTTTAATTTACCATCAATTTATATACTATCAAACTATGAAAAAAGAAAAGAGGGGGGTGAGAGAAGACGGAAAACAGAAAAATTTAATAAGCAGTGTCAACATGGCAACTCATCAAGGTCAAAGTTCATCAATTTGAAAACTTGCTTAGTGAGCTGAGCTCATTAGTGTGTATGACTAACCAGTGTAATGAAAGTGATATGGTTACCAAGGGAGTGAGAGATTGACTACACTCTCTTTCTGTGTGCATAAGTTTGGTCTGAGACGTTTGATTGCAATTGCTTCAGCAAATCGTAGTAGATTCACTGTCCTTTGTATGTTTAATATTTTGAAGGGTTTGGAAATCTCGACAAAATGGCCCGTATCCACAAGGTGTCTGGTGATTGCACTTTGTAAATATCTGCTTCCTTTTAAGCATAAGTTTCT